ACAGACTGAGATTTATAGATATTATACTGAATACATCGTTACATTCTAATATATTTACAGTGTCAGACTAACTGAGTTTTATACATATTATACTGAATACATCGTTACATTCTAATATATTTACAGTGTCAGACTAACTGAGTTTTATACATATGACAGTGAATACATCGTTACATTCTAATATCTTTACAGTGTCAGACTAACTGAGTTTTATAGATACAGACTAACTGAGATTTATAGATATTATACTGAATACATCGTTACATTCTAATATATTTACAGTGTCAGACTAACTGAGTTTTATACATATGACAGTGAATACATCGTTACATTCTAATATCTTTACAGTGTCAGACTAACTGAGTTTTATAGATAAAACGATACAAATAAAGAGAGTTAGTGTTGTGACTTATATAAAACGTTATTCTCGATCGATTGTGACAGAACTATGATACTGACATATTTCTGACCAGGAAAATATATATAAATATATAACTACACCATTCATTAAAATATACTGTCTAAAACAGCAAAATACGTTCTAAATGGCCTAATGAACGTTTTACATGACACTATTCTCCATGCTCTAAAGGCACCAACGAAACACACCATTAATGAAAAGCTGAGTGACGCAATATGAAGTTTAATGTTTTAGGAAATTATTAACCAGTATTCCTGAAAACCAGAAACCATGTTTGGTCTGTTTGTTTGAGCATACAAACGAGTTGTTACTTGGGAAACGCAATGAAGGAGACATTTCATATGATTGGTGTATGGAGGAAGGTGAGACATCAAAGATATGCTTCCGATGAAGCTAAACATATTTTGAATAATAAAACAATTTAAATACTTCCCCAGATTTTATGAATGACAAAGCTGTTTCTGGCTTTGAACAGATCGTGCGGTTATACTATAGTTTTCTTTGGAAACGAGGCTTAAATTAACAAGTGTTTCTCTTATGTATAAAACATGATGAACTGTTGTTATTGATCGTCAAGTAACCGAAACATCTAGTAAAATTAATGACATCTAGCGGCAGTAAGATATATTTACGTCAAAAACGTTATTAGATATGTCTGGAGACTTTCTAGTTCCATAAATGATGAGAACGATGCATACACGTGTGTGTTTATTAATTTTATGAATGCAATTCAGTCCAATAAGTGTATAAAAAATAACTCGCTGATGAAACTAATTGCAGTAACTTAGGGATGATAAGAGTATCGCCTGGAACCATATGTTTCAGTATGTATAATAATAACATATAGCATCGTAAGTATAAAAATAATATTCATTTTAAATACTACTACTTAAAGTTCATTGTAGACAAATGATGTTTTATTGTACATATTTTTTCATGTGTTTCTGTCCAGTATATATTAATAACTTGTTCGGTTTAAATTACAGTAGTGGTTTCAGATTTTCTTAACTGGGGGGTAATAAGACAATAAAACATAATGAGGCCCGGCATGGCCAGGTGGTTAGGGCGCTCGACTCGCAATCTGCGGGTCGCGGGTTCGAATCTCCGTCACACCAAACATGCTCACCCTTTCAGCCGTGGGGCCATTATAATGTGACGGCCAATCCTACTATTAGTTGGTAAAAGAGTAGCCCAGAGTTGGCGGTGGGTAGTAATGACTAGCTGCCCTCCCCTCTAGTCTTTCACTGCTAAATTAGGGACGGCTAGCGCAGATAGCACTCCTGCAGCTTTGCGCGAAATTCAAAAACAAGCGAGTCAAAGACCACAGATTAGTTGTTTATCTCCCCCCCCCCACCACCACCACAAAATTGTTCCATCAAAGTTTTTAATTTTGATTATAAACATTTTGTCGATAATAGCACGATTTTTATATTTAATGAAATCGTTAAACCTGTATTTTGTACCACTCAAAATTCTTCACAGTAATCCCCTAACGCTAACAAATAGTCATGTAAATATTAATTTAAATTCAACTCTTTCACTGTGCGCAACATGCTGTTTTGTTCCAGTACCCGATAGTATTTGACAGTGCCTCGAATCCCCAGTTGGAGTTTTTTAAAACAGATATAGAAAACCATGATCTCAGGAGGAGGGGGGGGAGGGGGAGATGCTATGGGACTCATTCCCCAATCTTTTAAGTACCTAGCGATGCCTCAGGTTAATTTCTTGTAATGTTGCAGGTTTTGCTACATACTTTCAAAGCCACTGAAACAGGTTGTTTATGATTTTATATTAGAAACCTTTGTTTCGTGACGTCATATTTATTCATCTTATAGTAGCACCGAAAAATCGCTTGCGACCATTTTTTTTAAGCCTACTCATTACAAGGAAACAGTAATTAAAACTTATTTGTGATAAATCTATGGGCTTCTCTGACATTCACAGTTTTAATACTTCTGAGATGATGGGGAACGAAAGTTCTTGTATTTTGTTTTAAGTATACCACGTATAAACAGCGATATAAAGCTGCAGAAGTAAAGCAGTGAATGCGATATAAAGCTGCAGAAGTAAAGCAGTGAATGTCAAAGAAATCTCAAGATTTATACCAAACATCAGTGAAAGCAGATTATCGTGTTGAATATTTGAAATTGCCATATTACTTGGCCCGGCATGGCCAGGTGGATAAGGCGCTCGACTCGCAATTTGAGGGTCGTGGGTTCGAATCCCCGTCCGACCAAACATGCTCGCCCTTTCAGCCGTGGGGGCGTTATAATGTGACGGTCAATCCCACTATTCGTTGGTAAAAGAGTAGCCCAAGAGTTGGCGGTGGGTGGTGATGACTAGCTGCCTTCCCTCTAGTCTTACACTGCTAAATTAGGGACGGCTAGCGCAGATAGCCCTCGTGTAGCTTTGCGCGAAATTCAAAAACAAACAAACAAACCATATTACTTTTGGATTGTGATATACACAACAAATAACTGCTGCCCTCTATCTCTTTTAGGGATATAGGTCCTTTTTTAAAAGGTAGTTAATGTTGTGGATTCTATGGCAACACTCATACGTACCAATAAATATCATGTCTTAGGTATTACAGCAAGACGCAGTCGAAAGGGTCAAGACAATAAGAGAAAACATTGTAGATAAAAAAATACAATTTTGTTTAAACCTTAAATTACTCTAAGCTTTTTTGTGTTCTTTATTTCAGAACATCTTGAAGATCCATTTTTGACGATTTGATGTCATTATGAGGCCATCTTATATCTGAAATTGACATGGCAACAGTATTAAACACCACCCAGCCTTCTAGGAGCTCTACGGGGGACATCCAGCATAAGATGTGCAAAACTAATGGTTCTACCCTGGGAGAACAAAGTGAGGAAGATCTAGAGCACGAAGGCATAATTAAAGAACCGAGCTATCCAGTAACGTTGACAGGTAGCATGACGTCATTAAAAACAAGTGATGAAAACTATGATGATAAAACACCAAGTAGAGGAAAGTCTGTTGTTTTCCACAGCGAAACCAGTCAGCCACCAATAAGAAAGATTTATAGTGGTGAGTACAGAAACAAAATATACTAAACATGTTTACTTTTTAGAATACGATAAACAAACACAAACGTTTTGTTTTATATATTCTGTTTTAACGTTCAGAAATGTTTAATAGGTTAAGAATGAGTTGACTAGACAGAGTATAAACAGGTTTTTATTTTTTGGAAAATGCATATGGACCTTTAGACTGCAAGCAAGATCGAAGTTTATAGTCCATAAATTGAATAAGATAAGTTAAAACACCGGTTAACCACTCAGATGATGAAATCACACAGTGATTCTCGTGACTATGTTGACTAGGAAGTTAATTTGTTTAGAAATAAATTGGGTTAAATTTGTGAAGAATGGTAAGACTGTTCAAACACAATAGTGGCTTTATATTACAGGTAAAGTGTTCAGTCAAGGTGATATGGCTATGACAACAGTATTTGCTATTTTCCAAATGTTACACTGCCGAAGTCTGTAACAATAGTGTACCATTATAATATGTAGTAAAAAACAATGAAATTGAGAAGCTTAATTTGTTTACTTAAGCAAATCAATTATTTGCACACTTCCTTCTTATTTGGCCCTAAATCTCGTAGTTGCTTTAATAAGTATTATATTGTTGCGTCAGTGAGGTCACGTGACTAGTATCACGCCACGTACTTCTCGAACCTTCGTGAATTATCGGGAGACTACTAGATTGGGGGTAGCCTGGTATATATAAGATGGTCACAACGTGACGAAACAATGAGTAATTGAACTGCAGTCAGAGAGTGTGTAATTGAACTGAGTATTGTCGAGCACGAGCACGTGAGACGTTCTTTGAGAATTATAGCGTTGTTATAGAGCGACTGTTGAAATTAAGTGTATCGTAAAGTTGTATTCGGAAAGAATAAACCAGTTTTATTTAAGAAAGGACTTGTGTCGCTAAAGTTTCGTCGGAACGAATTTACGGAAAATTAACTAACGAACGGAGACGTAACAATATGATGCTCGTGTGTTCAAATCGTACAATATCATTTTTCCGTTCGTTGTTCTCAATACACTAGAATATTTTCGTCACTTAGCATTTATTTGTATGTGATCTTTAATATAATTATTGTTTCGTAATCCTGACATTTTTTGTTCCTCTCAAAATAAAATCTTGTCAACATGTTTTCCAATTTTTACCGAGTATTCAAAAATTAGCCTTTTCCTTCTTCAGCTTACTGAATTAATATCAGTTGTCTACGAAAACATTATTATATAGAAAAATAATAAACACGATGGATGAAATTCACTTAAAAGCAAATTAATTGACATAATGTTTTGTGCTTAAGCCCTTCATAAGGTAATGTCTAAAACTCGTTACTACAAACTTTCAGGGGCCGGTCGTGGCTTAAATCAGCCTTAATCTGAGAATTAATGGTTTTCGTCCAGTTGCTGCAAATATTCGCTGTGCACTTTGGGTCCTTTCGTGTGCTACAAGAGGGACAGTCAAATCCCAATATTTGGTCAGATAATAATAGTCCAAGAACTGGCGGTTGACTAACTGCCTTCTCTCTAGTCTATCACTTCAAAGTTAGGGATGACTATACGCAAGTAGGCCTCTGTGTAGCTTTGCAAGAAAGTTAAACAAACAAGTAATACAGATTTTTAAATGTTTGGTTGAGGGTTGAATATAAAAATTGTGGTGAAAATTATGGGTTCCAACAAAGAATTAAAAACTTTTAACTTCAGTAAAGTCATTGCTGACTGGATGTTCTTTGATACTGATCGATAACTACTAACTGAAATACAATAAACTAATTTTCCTTGTTAGAGTGTCCTGCTCAGCTAGTTAAAAATAGTGTTAAAATTATTGTTTGTGATTGTGATTTTTCTAATCTTTGCTTTATCAAAAGTAGATTTAAAATAATTTGCTCTCTTTAAGCTAAATTGCACTTTAAAGAATGTGTTGTTGATATTTTTAACTTCACAGAATTGTGATAGTTTTCCTACAAAGTCAAAGAAAAGCTATATTTTTGGATTAATTGCGAATTAACATCCAAACGATATTACGTTTCTGTAAGCATTACATTATAAACATGTTCTCTGAAAGCCTGGCCTATATAAAATGTTTTCACATCTACCTTAAGTAAAGAGAATTAACGACGCTTTAAAGGTTTCAACTGCTCTCAAATCGGTTTTACAAACTCCAAAAAGTGATAAAGAAAAGGAATTAATTTTCAGGGAGTTCCGATTTATCTGGATTCAAGGAAATAAAATCTCTTAGATTTTCCGATTTCTTTTGAAGTAATGTATTCAATTCGTTGTTTAATATAATTTAACTCTGACAAACTAAAACGCCCACATTTGGTTGGAGTGGCTAAAGAATCTGTATATATCTAACAACGACTTCACTCATGGCCATGAGAGGTTGGAACGGATTTAAAAGCAGTCAAAAATCGTGTTGTACAATAAGCTAATTAACTGCATAATTACGCAAAATACCAAACCGAAAACAAAAGCAACCATTCTTTCATCAATTACGAATATCCTTTTCCAACGTATAATATAACAGAAATATATATATATAATGGTATTTCGTATATTAATTATTATTTTTTATAAATTAGGTTTTATCTAACACTGGTTTTTTTTTATAAGTATAAAGCTAATGCGTGGTATTTTTTTTTATAATTAATTATTGTATATGATATATAAATCAATATATCTAGTTCTATGCAATACATTAATTGTTCATAGACAAATAAAATCAGCACTATAAAACAATAATGAACTTAATATAAACCAGAAACAAGATAGTAAAATTGAAATATAAAATTATGCCTCCGTTATCATTCCTTGTTGTCATCCTTTATGTCATAATGGATAATTTAAACCAAATATATATATACGTTTACAGATAGATATGTTAAAAATAAAAATAAAAAAACGTGCAAAACCTTTTTCTATAGCCACCGTTTTTTTCTAATTTCACTTCATTGATTTCATTTATAGATTCGTTTGTAAGAAAACTTACACTGTTTGTCATACAGAAAAAAAAAACATAAGCGAAATTCATAATTTTCATGTTAAGAGTTACAATGCGTCTTATTCGTCGGTGGTTCAGCGACAAGTCTGAGGGATCATAACGCTCCAAATCGGGTTTCAATACTTGCATGGCCACAATACAGATAGTTCATTATATAACTTTGTGCTTAACAACAAACAATGCGTTTTTTATTGATATTTACCACGTTTTCATGTCAGTTGCTTATGTGGACAATAAGTGTGTAAATAAGTGAGATAAACCTACGTTTTACAACTTGATGCTCTTATTGATTTTCTTAGCGCAAAGCTACGCAACCGTTGGGAATCGAACCTCAAATTTTAACACTGTAAGCTCGGAAAGTTACCCCTGACCCACTGGGGACTTTACCACTCGAATCTCTCCTGTAGGTCAGTTGGTTCATAAAAACTGTTTGTTTGTTTGGAATTAAGCACAAAGCTACACAATAGGCTATCTGTGCTCTGCCCACGAAACCCGGTTTCTAGCGTTATAAGTTCGCAAACAATGGTCTACATAAAATTTATGAAATTCACCCAGGACTTGCTAAATAATAGCCTAAGACTGTTAACAGTATGTTATATATAGTTGTGATTTTGACCAGAAGCATTAGGTAAGTCTGGCATGGCGTAGTCGATAGGGCACTTGACTCGGAATTTGAGGATCACGGGTTCGATTCCCATTTCCGAACATACTTTCTCTTTCAGCTGTGGGGGAGTTATGAACTGCTGATCAATCCCCCTATTGACTAACTTTCCTCTAGTTTTTCACTTCAAAATTAGGAACGGCTAGCAGAAATAGCCTTCGAGTAGCTTTCCGCGAAATTCATAAACAAACAAGTAAGCTTTAGGCGAATTTGTCTTTATGAGGTCCTCGTAGTTTCCGTCCTTTTTGTTAAGAGATATTTTGATTCTTAAAGTAGAAATTTTATGCGCTAATCATACAAACAAAATCAGAACGCCATCTTCAATGTACGATATGTTAGTATACGCACTGGAATATCTGAAGACAAGAAAACGGTGCTATTTAGATTAAACTTTAACGAACTTTCTATACATATATCGCTTCTTTTTTTTTTAACACAGTAAACAAAACTTGATGACTTCCTTACTTTATACTCAATTCTTTGGTTTACCCTCTTTAGAGATACTACTATTTAAAATATCTAGAAGATGGTGTATTAGGGATTAATGGAACTTTACAAAACGATTTGCATATGTCACTGCAATAAATGTTGTGGCATCGTAGATGCAAGCCGTTGTACAACGAGCGACATTGTCTAGCACACACATATTTGATTCACCGTCTGCTCCCGACCAGTGCACCACAAGTACATTTGGCTGGCGGAATATGGTACAGCCCTTCTTGAGAAAGAATATCTGTTTAGCGAGATTATTAAACTGTTGAGATCCAAAGGACACGACATTTCGAAAAAGGAGCTCCATTGTCGACCATGTAAGCAGAAAAATTCACACTACAGAGCATGAAGACAATGGGCTTCGAAACTACACCCCCAAGCTAATCCCTCCATGGAAGCACAGAAATTCACACTGCAGAGCATGAAGACAATGGGCTTCGAAACTACACCCAAGATACTCCCTCCACGGAAGCACAGAAATTTACACTGCAGAGCATGAAGACAATGGGCTTCGAAACTACACCCCAAGCTACTCCCTCCATGGAAGCACAGAAATTCACACTGCAGAGCATGAAGACAATGGGCTTCGAAACTACACCCCAAGCTACTCCCTCCATGGAAGCACAGAAATTTACACTGCAGAGCATGAAGACAATGGGCTTCGAAACTACACCCCAAGCTAATCCATATCAGTGCTTTCTCTCATCCGCAAAGTGAAAACTATGGTACAACATAGAGCATCACCACCCAAAAGACCATTGTGATTCATATCTTATGGTATTGTTAACAAGAAAATAAACAAAGATTTGGAGCTGTAGGAGACTCGCAAGCCAATAGTTCGCAAGCTTCC